CTCTTGCATTATTATATTCTTCAAGAGTACAAAATAATACGTCTGATCTAACCAGTTTAGCCATGCAATCTAGTAATTGAAAAAACAAAAGTGAGCTATGTCACCCACTCAATTTGCCTGCAAGTATCACAGCTTAAATTGTCTGTTGCTCCTCTTTCTCTGAGTGTTAAAACACATATTTTTAAAAATTTTGAACCCAGGCACCAGTGGTTCATGCCTGTAATCCTAGCTACTCAGGAGGCTGAGATCTGAGGATCACAGTTCAAAGCCAGCCTGGGCAGGAAAGTCCATGAGACTTATCTCCAGGAAACCGGAAGTGGCACTGTGGCTCAAAGTGGTAGAGGAAAAAAAAAAAAGCTCAGGGACAGCGCCCAGAACCTGAGTTCAGCCCCACGACTGACCCCCCCCCCCAAAAAAAATTGAGACAGTGCAAGCTGGCCTTGATCCAGTGATCTTCCTGCTTCAGCTACCTGGGGTTCTAGGACTACAAGCATGTGCAAGACTTACATCTGAATTAGCCAAGCAACAGAGTAACAGCACTTTAGGATACTACACAAGCTGTAGTGCTCAAATACCTGTATTCATGAAAGATTATTGACTATAAGGAACTAACAACATGGTTGGTGTATCCTTCTAAATTCCAATAAATGGAAAATAAAAAGACAAAAGGCTATGTAGCCTTGTTATCTAAGCTTTTCTCTACAAGGGATATCATGATAGAACACTTGAATTCAACACTGAATTTTGAATGACAGTTTAATACACGCCTAAATACAAAAATGGTAGGTACCTTTGTAAACTGGGAGATTTATATGCAGTAATACTGGGGATTGAACCCAGGGCCTCAAGCAAGGTAGACAAGGAGGGTACCACCTGAGCCACATACAGATATTGGGTAATAGCTCTTAACAGCAATGCCAGCCAACCGTAATAGATAGCTATACAATGATGGAGGTAGCATATTCTCTCTCTGTATTGTCCAGTATTTTGGCCACTCAGGACATGAGTCACTTGAACACTTGAGTCAGTAGTACTAGTATGACTAAATAACTTACTTTTTAAACTTTAGTTTTAATGATGTAATTGTAAACAGCCACATGTGGCTAGTGACTCTTGTATGGACACTTCAGATCCAGGCTCTTAAGTGAATTTAAATCTGAGTTCTACCACTTACTAGCTTTATGTCTTTGAGCAGTTTATCTTTCCAAGCCACCTGTTCCCTGCCCTGTAAAATGGGTTACATGCTATTAACACTTGCACTACAGTTAATTAAATGAGTCCTTCTGAACCTTTATTCTCAGAAGTTAATATCAGTTTCGAAAAGGTTCCTGAAACAGGTTGATTAGCTCTTTCATATGTCACATTAAATTGTGGAAATGGAGTGAAATTTCACTCTAGTGGTAAAAGGAATAAGGTAAAACCTTTCCATTACCACGCACTATGGCTGATAAAACCGTACAATAACATCTCTGTTCAGTAAACTATGTTTAGAGGTATTAAAGCTCGCAGGAAGGACTAAAGACAAGGGGGAAAAAATTGTACACAACATCAGGGTGGAGAAAGCAAACCTAAAGCCTCACTTAGCTTAAATCCCTATTTTGTTCTCCCTATAATTACCAACATGCAGTCCCCACTTAAAAAGACCTAAGAGGGGCTGCGAATGTAGTTAGGTGGCAGAGCGCTTGCCTAGCGTACAGCAGGCCTGGGTTTCATCTCCAGTACAGGCCCACAAAAGCAATACTGAGATGTTAACCCTTGCTCAGGTTCCATGTTACATAATTAAGTGGTGGAGCAAGTAAGAGTAAAATCAACCTCAGGTAGAATAGTGCTTGACAGGAAGGACAAAAATGTGTGTGCCACTTTTACTGCCTGGGGCGTTGTGCTTGTTGCCAGTCCTGAGGCTTGAACTCAGGATCAGGTGAAGTTCCTGAGGTTTTTTTGCTTAAAGATAGAACACTACCACATAAACCACAGCTCTACTTTCAGCTTTTGATGGTTAATTGGAGATAAGAGTCTCAACATTCCTGCCCAGGCTTGCTTCCAACTGTGATTCCTCAGATCTATCTCAGCCTCCTGAGTAGCTAGGACTATAGGCACAAACCTCTGGCATCCAGTGTTTCCTGTGTTTCTTAATAAAGCCTATAGAGCTCAGCTGTGTACACTGTACTGAAGAGAAACAGAATATCCACTTAAACCTTATGAAACATGACCTTGTCCCAGAGTTTCATCTTTGACATCTATGGAATTTACAAGTTTATGATTAGAAAAAGCACTTTCCCAAATAAAATGCACATGTTCATGGAAGATTAATATCACTTTAATATTTAAAAGATAAACAGTTAAAAATCATTTGACAAGCCCATCACTACAAACTTGTTCTGTGCAAATTGTAAGTTAAATGGCTGGGAAACATTGGCTGGAAAAACTAAGGCAATGAATAGACAGTAGACAGGTCTAGTCATCGATTTGGGGGAAAAAAACCCACTAGAATGGTTAAGATTGTATTTTGAAAGAAAAAATCAGCAGCAACAACCATTAAGAAAGAAGCCAATGGAGAAGATGGGGGAAAACAAGTCGTTTAAGGACACAGGTGGACCTGTTGCAACAATGAGAAGTACAAGAAGTATAAGTTGTCATGTCGAAAAGGAGCTTTACAACGTTGGTGTGGGAGGGGAGGAGGATTGGGGGGGGGAGGCTGGGAAGGGATGTGAAGGGTAAACAAAGGAGGAGGCTGCAATGCTTGATAAGAAATGTACACATTATCCTGCCCATGTAATTGTAACCCCTCTGTACAGTATGTTCACAAAAGAAAATTAAATTAAATTTTAAAAAAGAAAGAAAGAAAGAAGCCAAGCAGGGCACAGGTGGCTCATGTCTGTAATCCTAGCTACTCAGGAGGTTGAGATCTGAGGATTGTGGCTCAGAGCCAACCTGGGAAGAAAATTCTGTGGGACTCTTTGGGTCCGGTCATGGGGCCTGAACTCTGGGCCTGGGCACTGTCCCTCAGCTCTTCAGCTCAAGGCTAGCGCTCTACCCCTTGAGCCACAGCGCCACTTCTGGCTTTTTTCTTTTTGTTTATGTGGTGCTAAGGAATCGAACCCAGGGCCTCAGGCATGCAAGGCAAGCGCTCTACCACTGAGCCACCTTCCCAGCCCTTCTTTGGGACTCTTGAGGATCACTGTTCAGGAAAGTCTTGAGCAGGAAAGTCCATGAGACTCTTATTTCCAATAAACCACCAGAAAACCAAAAGTGGTGCTGTGGCTCAAGTGGTAGAGCACTTGCCTTGAGCTGAAGAGCTGAGGGACAGTGCCCAGGCTCAGAGTTCAAGCCCCATGACTGACAAAAAAAAAAAAAGAGAAGAAGCCAATGAAGGATATGAGTGCCTAACCACTCTGGAGGCTGAAATATTAGGATTACAGTGTGAAACCAACCTGGGCAGGAAAAATCCATGGTACTCTTTATCTACAATGAAATAGTAGAAAGTGGGAAAGGAAGGTGTGACTCAAGTGATAGAGTGCTAGCCTTGAGCAAAAAAAAACAAGCAAGAACTTGAGGTTCTCAGTTCAATCTCTAGTACTGGTGTGTGCACGTGCACATGTGTAAACATGCACACACACAGAGTCCAATGAGGGGATGCTGAATGAAGTATACTAACATGGCAGATTAAAGATAGAACTAAAGACACAAAGTAAATCCCCAATTTTCTTCCCTTCATAAGTCCACTATGACAGATTTCAATTTCACTGATGGTACAGTAAGTCTAAGTCTAATGCCACCTCTCAATAGAGGCACACATCATTGCAGAATGATAGAAGTCCAGTTAAATATTACTATACAGAAATTCAAAAAAGGCCAGATCAAAGTGCCCACCATTTGTCATTCACTGTGGATGACAGAGGAGGAGCAGGGACTATTGCTCTTGCCTTCAAAGAGCTGCATAAATACTGACAAAAAATAATAGAGTGGCTAAGAAATTAAGTCTGAGATAGTAAATCTAGAAAGTAGGGAAGTAAAAGAAACTAAGAACAGAAATACAAAAGAACTACATAATAAGGAGGCAGGGATATTAAAAAAAAGAATGTGTTTACAACTGTACTATAATAATAGGAATCATCTTTGTAACATCTTTTGTGGGGGGGAGTGTTGGTCCTGGGGCTTGAACTCAGGGCCTGACCACTGTCCCTCTGTACTTCTTTGTGCTCAAGGCTAGTGATTTACCACAGTGGCGCCACAGCACCACTTCCAGCTTTTTCTGAGTAATTTATTGGAGATAAGTAGCTCACGGACTTTCCTGCTCAGGCTGTCTTCGAACTTCAATCCTGAGTTCTCTCCTCCTGAGTGGCTAGGATTACAGGCATGGGCCCCCAGCACCTGAATTGCTATAAGTTTATTAACTCATACTCTTTTCTTTCAGTTTCTATACAGGCATTTTTTTGGATGGTGGGTCTCCTCCCCCTCCCGCCCCCCGTCGGTTGGGGGGCCTGAACTCTGGGCCTGGGCACTGTCCCTCAGCTCTTCAGCTCAAGGCTAGTGTTCTACTGCTTGAGCCATAGTGCCACTTCTGGCTTTTTCTGCCTATGTGGTGCTAAGGAATGAAATCCAGGGCCTCATACATGCAAGGCAAGCACTCTACCACTGAGCCACCTTCCCAGCCCTAGTGAGGTTTTTTTTCCCACATTAAAAAAACAACCTTTAAGTAGTTGCATAAAGGAGTTTCAATGCCAATTTATGAGTACAATGTATTATGATCAATGTCACCCCTTCCATCATTCTTGGTGGAGATTGTTATTGGGGATAAAGCATGTACTTCACAATAGACTATCTTTCTCTGCTACATGGAGAAGTGATCAACCATGCTTTTACTTAATTCAATGAAATTTTATTCTCTATGAAAATCTGTGAAATACAGACTTCATCAGATGACTAAGTTTCAGAGTAGCAGCTACATTAACCTTGGATCATGCTGGCTTTGTCTAAGCTTCTAATATAAGCCTCCTTACCTTTGGCAGCATGGGAGTGTCCCTCTTCTTCTTCTTTTCAGAATTAGGGTCATCTAATAAGTCAGGCTCAAAAGTATAAAGTTCAGTAAGCTCATTCATGGTAAAATGCCGCTCAACCTGCTGCTGATCCACAACTCGGAAAGACAGAGATTGCTTAGTTACCTGCCGGTCATAAATCTTATCCTCCATGGTTCCCTTTGGGAAAAGAAGGAATACACAAAAACATTCTTATAAGTATGAACCTTAATCAAGTAGAAATATAGTTACTACTTAATATGAAGTACTAAGACTTCAAGGTCATGCATTGCCATAAAGAAATAATCATTACCAGTGTTGCTTAATTTGTGAAAGACTTCAATTCTTAGCATAGTTTACGATAACAAATTAAGAAAATTAGTGATAATCATTCTAAATTATCTGTCCCCAAAATACATTTCCTGTGCTGTTCCATGTATTTCTAGATTTGATGAAAGTAGGAAGAGCAGGCAGATACCAGGGCAGAGAGATATAAAAGAAACATGTGAAATAAGAATTTAAGGTGGGCACTGAAGTTTGAATGCAATAAACAGTTCAATTCCCTTTCGGTGTAATATAGTAAGATACTACTATCGGGTGTTAGTTTCTATATAAATCTATTTTTGTATCAACCATTGGTTTCTATATTTTAGAGCCAAAAAATACTAACATGAAATTCTGTGTCAATTACTTAAAAGCTAGAATATAAAGAAGTTATGCTTTTAAATAACAGGAAAGAATATACAATGAGGCTATCAATGTTTTCACATACTAAAGGAGATCAAATAAGCAAAGATCTTTAGCAGTGAAACACAGGCTCTAGTTGGAAGCGCAGATGAGGAGACAGGTGGAGAATGGTAATGCCTGCTGTTATATAGCAAATACACCAGTGAAAAAAGCAACTTGCTTCTATAAATGTAGATTACCTCCAAATATATTCATATCTTTGCTTTTACTTTTTTTTCTTGAATTTGAGTTTTTGGGCTTTGGTTTTTTGTTTGCTTTTGTTTTGAGACAGTTTTTTTAAACTGTGTAGCCAGGCTGGCCTCGACTCAATCCTCCTGCTTCAGCATTCTGAGTGCCGAAGATCACAGCCATGAAACCACTTACAACTGGCTTCTAAGTACCTTGGTTTGTATTTCAAGGACATTACTTTAATAGACTTGACTAGAAAACATTAAATAGCCTTTTTATCATGATTGTTCATATATTATTTCTTTTCTTATTTGCTCACGTTAAGAGATTACTGGTGGCCATTGGAAAACAATGACCTTGTCGTTACTAAGAAAATTAGTTTGTTATTCATCGTCCTATACATGCTAAGCAAGGGGAAGTACAAATGTTTAACGTTCCTGAACTAGTAGGAAAATACAAAACAATTTGCACCTGGAAAGCTGACATTATAAAAATAGATGAACTTCAACTAGAAAATCCTAAAGAGTCCAAGCTTGACTTTTTCAATTTTCTATATAAGAATAGTATTTTCAACTTTGTCTCTGTAATACATATGTGTTCTGCAGCAATAAAATACAATCAGTTCCATCCATTTATGTTCAGTACCTCTAAACTATCACCAGTCTCACTCAATTTTTCAATATGTAAAAGAATATATAAATTATAAACATACCTGAGCTAAGAACCTATATACATATACAGGCTTTGTTTGTCCAAAGCGATAAACTCTGAATATACTCTGGATATCATAGGATGGATTCCAAGAAGCATCGAATATAATTACTCGATTAGCAGCTACCAGATTAATTCCAAGAGATCCTGCTTTGGTGGATATGATAAATAATCGCCCTCTGAAAATGGAAATATGAAAGAAAAGCTTAATGATGATAAGACTTTTGAGTCTTAAGTTCGTTTTCTGATCAAGACTTCACAGAATTCATTTCTTACAAAAGAAAATCAAACACAGGAAGAGTCAGGTTTATTTATATACACCACCCCCCAAACCTTACTGCTGAAAAATGAATGTCTGATGTTAAAAATAAAGATGAATATTTACATTTAAAATCTACTTGCCAGGCACTGATGGCTCACACCTTTAATCCTAGCTACTCAGGAAGCTAAAACCTAAGGGTTACAGTTTGAAGCCAACCTGGGCAGGGAAAGTCTGTGATACACTTATCTCCAATTAAATAGCAAAAAGCTGCAAGTGGAGCTGTGGCTCAAGTGGTAGAGCACCAGCCTTGAGTAAAAAAGCAAAGAACATGAGGACCTGAGTTCAAGCCCCAGTATCAGCACAATAAAATTTTTAAAAATAAAGATGAGTATGAAAATCATATGTTCATAATGTGTTCATTGTGTTACTTACAGGTACCCTACTAAACTCAGAAAATAGCTGTATAACTGCCAAGATCCTATTGTGCTGGGAACTGAAAAAAACCCTAGAAAATCTAAATGAAGGACAATACTAAAGGAACCAAGTGCAACAGGGCTGACTCAAGCAAACACCTGGTGCATAGCATGTGAACATACAGACAGAAAGAAGTCAGATACAAGGGACTCAAATAGCTCAAACAGGAGCAACACACAGGGCTGCAGGAAGGGAGTGCTCCAGGAACATGACAAACTGAGGTAATGAGTGCTAGATTAGGAGAATTTGATAATGAATCAATGAGATATGTTAGGAGAAAAAAACCTAAGGTAAAAACAGCCCAAATAAACAGGTATATATGAAAAGTAATTTTTTTCAGTGCCTTAAGAATATTTCCAGAGCCACAATAAAAGACTTCAAATTGACTTAGGTAAATAGGATGAAAATTTACATTGGGAAAAATGCAAGGGGAAAAAGTGTGTTTGTACCAGTGGATCTTTCCCCTTTAGACTGGCTGTTTGCTTTTGGTGGGGTTTTTTTGGTGGTACTGGGAGTTTTCAGGGTCTGGCACTTGCTAGACAAGCCTCTCACTTGAGTTATGCCCCCCTTTTCCTCTAGTTATTTCCTCTAGTTACTGGAGATAGAGTCTCAAGTTGATGCTCTGGCATATGATCTTCCTATCTGTGGGATAACAGACATGTGCCACCATGTCCTACTATCAGTGAGATAGGATCTTGTGAACATTTTTCCCACAGTGGCCTCAAACTCCACAATCTTAAGTCTCCTGAGTAGCTAGGATTAACAGGCATGAGCCACTGTGTCCAGCAATTACAATCTGAGATTTTCATTACACTTAGGGAAATAAATATCTTTGTGCTCACAGAAATCTGTGTGCAAATGTTCAGAAGAGTTTCAGCTTTAATTGTTAAACATGGGAACAACTCCAATAGCCCTCAAAGGAAAGAGCAACACAAACTCAGCTACATTCCTATGGTGGAATACTACTCAATAACAGAAAGGAATAAAATATTCACGGCTACAAAACCACAGATGGAGTTCAAGTGCATTTCACTAAATGGAAAAAGTGATCCCCTGAGTAATTATGGGGTGGAAAGTGATGAAATTGTGTCGTCTTGATTTTATCTTCCATTTATCAAGAATTGTACAAGTATACAAAGTGTGAATTTTATTGTATGTAAAATCAAAAAAGAGTCATGCAAATCTTTGTACATAGACTTCAAGGTTCATACCTCACATTGGTTTCATCATTGAACTCTTCAGCCCACTTCTTGCGTGACTGTGCAGTGGTAGAGCCATCTAAACGGTAGTAGTCTATATTGCGGAGCCACTTCCCTTCACCTAAGAAGTCAACAAGAAAAACACAACAGGTTTTAGTATATTGCTCTGCTAATCATACTAGGCTTTGCTCCTTGTTCCTCGCTTACAAGTAGCTGAAGCCAGGCACAAGTGGTTCATACCTGTAATGTTAACTACAAAGGAGGCTGACATCTGAGGATCAAGGTTCAAAGCCAAGCCAAGCAGGAAAGTTCATGAACTCATCTCCAATTAACTACCAAAAATAAGCCACAAGTGGAGCTATGGCTCAAGGAGTAGATCTCTAGCCTTGAGAAAAAAGCTAAAGGACAGTACACATGCCTGGAATTCAAGCTCAGTACTAGAACGTGTGCCACACATACCTACAAACATGCACGCACGCTCACACTCATGCACACAAAAGAAAGGTGGGTGAGGTATGGTAGTGCATTCATGGAATCCCAGCATTCAGGAGGTGTGCCACACATACCTACAAACATGCACGCACGCTCACACTCACACACACAAAAGAAAGGTGGGTGAGGTATGGTAGTGCATTCATGGAATCCCAGCATTCAGGAGGCTAAGACAGGAGGATTTTGAGTTCTAGTCTGCCAGGGGACTCAGAGGGAGACCCTGTCTCAAAACAACAAAACAAGCTGGGTACTAGTGGCTTATGCTGAAATCCTAGTTACTTAGGAAGTGAAGACTGGTTCAAGACTAGCCCAAGCAAAAACTTTATGAGACCCTTCTTAACCAATAGCTGGATGTGGTGGTGGCACACACTTTGGGACTATGGTTCCAGACCACCCAGACAAAAATGTCTAAGGCTCCACCTCCAAGTTGGAAGCTGGGCATGTTGTTGGGTTGCCTATCACCCCAGCTACAATGGGAAGCAAAACATAAAGGAGGATCACTATCCAGCCATGGGCCTAAACAAAAAAGAGAGATGCACTCTAAAAAATACATAGTACAGAAAAAAGTCTGGAGGCATGGCTCAGCAATAGAGCATCTGCCCAGCAAGGGCAAGGCCCAGAGTTCAAACGCCAGTACACAGCTATCCTCAAAATAATAACCTCACACTCAACCAGTGGCTCACATTCAGCTCCTTATGTTGAAATGTAAACTTCTGAATTACAAGCTTTTTGTCTGAGTTGGTCTTAAAATGTGATGTTCCAGATCTCTGCCTCCTAAGTAGATAAGGTTATAAGCAAGAGCCACTGGTTGAGCACAGGTATTTTTAAAGCCTATTTTAGGACTGGGTGTGATGGTATACACTTGTAATCCCAGCCATATGATAAGTTGATATAATCTCAAGAAAATTGTGGTTTGATGCCAGGCTGGGCAAACAGAATAGTGAGGTCTTATTTCAACAAACAAACTGGGCATGGCAGGATGTACATGTAATCTCAACTACTAAGGACATAGGAAGGAGGATCACATTCTGAGGCTAGCCTTACCTAAAATAGAAGACAAGATCTGAAAAGTAACTAACATAAAAGTGAGCCTGAGTACATGGCTGAATAATGTGTTCAAGGTTTTATCTACAGGTACCTTTTCAAACTCAGAAAATATCTGTATAACTTTCAGTCATTATTAGCATATGAACATAAGCATAGGTAAAAGGCTTGTCTAGCAAGTTCAAGGCCTTGAGTCCTAAACACCATAGGATTTTTTTTTGAGACAGCAACTCACTATGCAGCCTACCCTATTCTAGAACTCACTATAAACCCAAAGGAATCTAAATCAGCACATAACAGATATACCTGCACACCCATGTTGCTGTAGCACAATCCTCAATTGGCAACATATGTTACTAATTTGGATGTCCAACAATGGAGAATGGATAAAAAGACTCATGATACAGACACACACACGCACATACACACGCGCACACGCACACACGCACACACACGCACGCACGCGCGCGCGCACACACACACACACACACACACACACTGGAGTATTAATCTGCCAAAAGGCAGAATGAAATTAAGTCATTTGAGGAAAATGGATGAAACTGGAAATCATCTTGTTAGGCAAAACCAGCCAGATGCAAAGTAATAAATTATCATGTTTACTCTCATATGTGGAAACTAGCCCTAAAAACAAGCTAGCAAACAACAGAGTATAAACTTATAAAGGGAACTATAGGCTAATGGGGGAGAATTAGACTAACAGGAGAGCAGATTAGAACTTCAGAGGGTGATGGAATGAATATGATTAAACTATATCATATACATACAGGAAAATGCCCTGAGAAATCCCATTATTTCATTTTGAAAAGTGAATAGAAAAGACATTGAAGTCTAGATGAGTATTAGGAGTGAATGTATAGTCATAAACCCCAATTTTGGTTTTGGGGTGTTTTTTGTTGACTGGTCCTAGGCCTTGAACTCAGAGCCTGGGCACTGTCCCTAAGCTTCTTTTGCTCAAAGCTAGCATTCAAGCATTTGAGCAACCGCACCACTTCTGACTTTTTCTGTGACTCACTGGATCTCACAGACTTTCCTGCCCAGGCTGGCTTGGAACCACGATCTTCAGATGTCATGGCAATTTTATATATTTTAAATCCCTTGAAATTCTGATTTTTTTCCCACAATTTAGCAATATAATTATATATAAATTTAGAAAACAATTTTTAGTTCCTGAAATTTTTACTCAGGATGAAGTCTAATATTATTATTATATTATTATTAGCTATGATAAATAAACAAGAAAAGATTCAACCAGTTTACCATGTGAGCTTCCTCCCTTCTCAAGGCAACGTGTGTGTGTGTGTGTGTGTGTGTGTCTGTGTGTCTGTGTGTGTGTTGTTTTTTCATTTATCTGAAGATGGCCACTTAGGCTGCTTCCAACTTTCCATCATTATTAGCATATGAACATAAGTACATAAGTCTCTTGTCAAGACCCTACTTTTGTTCTTTTGTGTTCTTTTTTTGGTGCCAGTCTTGGGGCTAAAACTCAAAGGCTTGTGCTATCGCTTAGCTTTTTCACTCAAGGTTAGCCCCCATACCACTTGAGCCACAGCTCTATTTCTAGCTTTTTGCCTTTTCTGGCTTTTGGCCCTACTTTAAATTCTTTGGAGTATGATCAGGAAATGATGAGGAAATGATACTGCTGAATCTTCCTGTGTTATTTTTAATTTTTAGAAACTTTCACACATCTTTTAACAGAAGTGACATTTCCTATTCTATTCTATTTGTCCCCAGTGGCCACAAGCCATGATCCTCCCATCTCTACCTCCTGGTAGCTGCTATTACAGGTGTGTACTACTATGTCAGACCCCCATTTTGCATTTTTACCAACACTGCACAAGGTTCTGATTACTTAAAATTCTCACAAAAAATGTTTAATAGTAAACCCTCTCACAGTTGTGTGGTAGAGTCTCACTGTGGATGTGGTTTGCACTTTCCTAATGACTAATGATGCTGACTGCCTTTCAATGTGATGGTAGTCATTTGCATAGCATTCTTAGATAATTGTCTGTTCAAGACTTTGTCCGTTTTATTATGCTAGTTTTTGTTGTTGATTATTCTTGATGTGAAATCCTGATCAAATTAATGATCTGCAAATATTTTCTCGCATCCATTTTACTCTGTAAAAACAGTAAAATGTGGGCTGTGAAGGTGGCTCAGTGGTAGAGCACTTGCCTTGCATGCCTGAGGCCCTGGGTTCAATTCCTCAGCACCACATAAACAAAAAGAAAAAAGCCGGAAG